ATCAAGTATAAGATAGTTCCAACAAAAGCCTTATGCTGATACATACAGATTATAGAATAATCAGGATATAATGCATTGGTGTAATATGTGGAGATTTGCCCATAGAAATATCAAATTATGGTCTGCCTCCTTTCTCAGTGGTTGCTTTCCACTGGGTATTGATGGCAGGGGAGAGATTGTTGTTAAATATTCAGTGGGGAAAAGTCAGTGATGTCAGACTTCCCCCACTGGTTCATTTTCCAGGCAGGAAAATGAACAGCTGTCAGTGGCTGAAATTGTGGACAGCAGCCTGTAAAAAGATCAACAGGCACACCGGGCAGCAGTCTTTTGTTCAGAGCTAAAAAATAAATCCTTTCCTTCTACCATTGTCCTGCCTCTTCAATCAAGCCCATATCTAACACTGGTGACGAAGGTGGGATTCTAGAAGAGAACAAAGGAAACGAGGTGAAGACGGAAAATTCTAACAGAATGCTGCTATCATCGTGCTGATCATCAGAATGTCCACCCACGCTCAACCAGAACTTTTTGATCCAAAAAAGCATGACTGGGTCACGTACATGGGACAATTTCGAATGTTTTTAGAAGCAAATTCACTGCAGGATGCAACAGAACAGAGGAAGAGAGCTCTATTCCTGGGATATTGTGGAAATCACCTCTACAAAACGGCTAGAACCCTAGCTACTCCCAAAGATGTTGAAACAATGGAATGGAAAGAATTACAGAATGTTAGAAGAACATTATGCTCCCGCTGCATCGTCACTGGCTCACTGACTTGACTTTTACTGCAGAGAACAGAAACCAGGTGATACCATAAATGATGACCTTACAAACCTACGAGATATTGCTGCAGGCTGTGAGTTTGAAAATGTGGAAATAACTTTAAGAGTAGAATTGTAGTTGGAATGAGGGACCGGAGATTGCAAAGGAAGCTGATAACTAAAAAGAGTATCTCTTTAAAAGAAGTAATAGAGGAAGCCCGAGCAGCAGAAATCTTGGAAAAACCAGCAGCTAAAATTGAGAAATCCGAGAGCGTTCACTGAGCATGAGGGACAACCAGCAAATATCAGGGAGAGGGGGAGATTGGAGAACTCTCCGAAGAAGAGGAGGAAGAAATACATAGAGTAAAACCTGATAGAGGATCAAGGCTCCAAGGGACGAACCAGAGACTCCTATGGTGTGCAGGTTGTAAAGGGAACCACCCCTGGGTGGTTTGCAAATTCAGGGATACAATTTGCCGCCAATGCGAGAGAAGGGGGCACATTGCTGAAGCATGCAGAGCAAATCTGCCAGCATACCCCAGGCAGAGACAAGCAGGGTTCCCTAATCATCCACGTGGCCCACAACAAAGGGGATTCCAGAGACCTCCTAATTCAAATTCCAGGAGGGAAGAGAATAGAATGGAAAGGGACAGAGACTATGAACACACAATAGTGGGGCATTCTGATCACCATAAATCAAAGAAATTCAACATCACAGTGATAATAGGAGAAAAACCTTGTGATATGGAAATTGACTCCGGATCCTACATATCTATGGTGTCCTGGACAACTATAAAAGAAACAATCCTTGGCATAACTCAACAACAACTAAAACCACAACGTTTAATACTAAAGATTTCCAAGGGAACAGAATTCCTGTGTTAGGAAGAAGTTTTCCAGTAAAATTCAGAAACTTCGCCGGTGAATTGCCTTTAACCATTGTTGACAAAGAAATTCCAAGCCTCCTCAGAATAGAATGGTTTAGAGCCATAGGAGAAATTGAAAAATGGGTTGCAGGTTGTTCGCCTTGTCAGGAATCTAGACCTGCTCCCCTCCAACCCTAGAATGGGAATCACGAAAAGCACCTTGGTCTAGAATACATATAGACATGGCAGAGCCAATGCAGGGGCAAACATTTCTAATAACCATTGATGCATATTCAAAGTGGGTGGAAGTAACGATCATGAAAACCACCACAGCGGATGCTGCGATTAAGGTATTGAGGAAATTGTTTGCCACACATGGGTTACCAGATGTTGTGGTATCGGATAATGGTCCCAATTCACAGCAAATAATTTTGAATGTTTCCTAGCTGAACAGGGAATCTGCCACGCATTATCAGCACCTGGACACGCCCAGAATCATGGGCAGGCAGAGAGAGCCGTAAGATCCACGAAGGAAACCTTAGCAAAAATGGGACCAGGGGATTGGAAAATGAAAATAGACAAATTCTTAATGATACAATATATCATCCCTTCGGCCGCCACACACACAAGTCCAGCAGATCTTTTAATGGGGCGGAAGTTAAGATCAGAGCTAGATAGATTACACCCACACTACAATCCAAGCACACCTGCAGATCCGACAAGTAAATACAGATATTTGAATATAGGTCAATTGGTCTATGCTCACAACTATGCAGGGGGGGGCCCTACTTGAGTAGTGCAAGTTACAGGCCCCCGATCTTATACAGTAGAACTAGAAGATAGGAAAATATGGAGCAGACACATAGACCAACTCCGGGAACGATTGGAATGGAATCTGAACGACCAGAAAACCTCAGAAACAGAAACACAGCATAGAGAGGTAAGACCAACCCTAACAACTACAAATACTGAAAACACAAGCCTCCCCACTCTAGGGTGGGCCTCAAATTCAAGTACACCGCAGGATAATTTAGCTGAAGGGGGGGAAATCCAGCAAAGAAACCCAGAGCCTCTGTTCCGTCGGAGCCAGCCCTGCCCCTGAAAAACCCTGAGGCTGGCTCTGCAGTGACAACAGACCCAACTAGTCAGGTTGCCACCACTGGGGGGGCGGGGGTGTGTGTGAACTGCAAAGGTCCAGTCACACTCACAGGAGTCCCTCATGTGATTATGTCTGTGAGTGAGAGCTGATCGGATGAATGCTTCTTCCAGGAGGGGAGGGATGTTAGATATTCAATGGGGAAAAGTCAGTGATGTCAGACTTCCCCCATTGGTTCATTTTCCAGGTGGGAAAATGAACAGCCGTCAGTGGCTGAAATTGTGGACAGCAGCCTGTAAAAAGATCAACAGGCACACCGGGCGGCAGTCTTTTGTTCAGAACTAAATAAAAAAATCCTTTCCTTCTACTGTTGTCCTGCCTCTTCAATCTAGCCCAAATTAGTGTGAAATTTTCAGGCCTTCTTGAACTCATAGATATTACTAAAAGAGTAGGTGGCAGCCATTCCCAATTAGGTACTTGTACAACAACCATAAAAAGATTTTCTTGTTTGTGAGGGAATAATGGGAATTGTATTTAAAACTTCTGGAAGTTACCAGGCCCAGAACAGGATGAATTAAACAAAATCCATCCTATTAGTTTCAAAGATCACAGGATTTCTTTTATTAATAACTGCTTTTAGTGGATTAAATTCACGCTGTTTTCAGATAGAAATGAGACTAAAATTAGTCATGTTGTTCTTCTAGAGTCAGAGGATTTAAGTTAGTTATGATTAACCTGTCCTATTTATAAAGATACAATAAAAGCATTCCTAATTTAACTTGGATCTGAACTTCTGTCTTTGAATAAGGATATGAGATAACTGGAGTCAGTTGCTTCAAAAGAAGATGTCATAAAATAGTTCAATAACTTATATTGCCGTTTGATATAGCACCTGCTTGCCAAATTGACAAGTGCAAGAAAGCACGGTTTTACAAGACTTCCCAATTTGGCACAAGGAAGGAAACTCAATTTTATACTTTAGCTAGAAAATATTTCATATCACTATAAAACAGAAACCCGCTTCTCAGAAATCAAAGAAGTTTGGGAAGAGCTGAAATTATCCGAATAAGCTCAAAACAAGGTATTACCATCAATAACCATATGATACCTCTAAAAGCCCAGTGATGATATTGTCTCCATGCCTGCTCAGTTTGAAGAAATCAATTATTTATTTGTTAAGGTGAGATCTAATGAACTAATGGTTTACCTTAGGACCAGATTTTGTTGATGCTGATTTCAGTGCCTAAAAATTCAAAACGCATTCATAAGCCTTCCATCATTCTTGGCCTCTACAAAGCTATACCTTGCAGTACTGTAGTAATGTCAAAGCTTCTCTCTTTTCAATGTTGTATTAGCAAGTTCTTCCTATTGTGGTGGTTGTTATTGTCATATCACATATATGACTAGACATCTTACAAAAATAATCATATTAAATAAAAAATAAAACACATGGCAGCTGGGCATTTTTCAAACAATTATCAACCTAGCCTCAAGGACAAAGACTTTGTTATCCACCTAGTGCCCAGACTTGGCTAAAAAGCCAAGTTTTCAAGGCCTTATGGAAGATCAACAGGGACAGGGCCAATCCAATTTTAGGGGATGATGTTCTAAAGGCATGTACCAGGGCAGAAATGGTTCTCCTTCTAAGACTTGGCAGGTGACACACCTTAGCCAACAATACTCAGAACATGTCCCTTCTGCCAAATTGGTAGGCTAGGTAAAGGTAATAGGGGAAGGGCAGTCCCATAAGATACCCATGAATTGTTTTTTAAAGTGACAATTCACACCTTGAATTGCACATAGAAGTCAAAGTTAATCTCTCTCTGATTGCAATGGGGATTTACGATTTGCCTTCATGTTAGGGGAAATTCTCCAGTGAGGAATAACTGTTCAGCTAAACAGGGATATGACCATTTATGTTATCTGGAACCTGCATCTTAGGCTGTTTCCTATGTCGCATTCAAGTCTATCTGTAAATCAAACTACAAAGTATTGTAGTTAAACACAGCAAGATGCTTCTAGATATTTCCCACATAGTCAATGTCATTTTTGAGTAAGGCTTTTTGATCATGATTTGAGTGATCAAGTGCTACCCTGACATATTAAATATTTCCACAGAGTGTATGTATATGTGTGAGGTGTGTGTTTAGTAAATATCATCCTAGTCTTTTCATATAATATAAGATTAGTTACACAAAATTCTTTCTAGATATATAACACATATTAAAGTTACTGAAAGACTTTATTGCAATCATTAATCAGTACAAATTATTAAACTAGTTTCAAGAAGAGCTTCTCTTCTTCCAACTGTCTGTGTGCTTCTAATGTGTCTTGGCAATTTTAGGCAAGATGCCAGCCTTTTGATTCTATACATTGGAATAAATCCAGCTGGGTTCAGAGAAGTTTTCAACTTGTGTATTTCCCCTCCTCAGAGTGAAAGAGGAAACAGGAAAGTTTTGCTTCTGTTTTCAACTGACTGAATTACTTCTGAATTTTACAAGTGGCTGATGTCAAGTAATAAAATAACCCAATCCAGAAACCATAGTTAAAGCTCTACTGTTAAAGTGACAATATTAAAAACCAACTACAAACCACCTATACTCAGACATGATGTGCAACTGTAGTAGGTTACAATGCAAGCAAACATTTTAAATCTTTTCATGGCTTTACAAGAGGAGCAGAGTAGAAAGAATTTTTAAAGACTGTTCTTGTATTTTTCTAATTTTGTGTCAGTTTATATGAAACTGGCACAAAGTTAGGACACCCCCCCAAAACAAGCAAACAAACCGAGGGATAGTTTCCCTATTTCCAATTATTCTACCATGATATCCAACTCTTGGGTGCAAAAAACCCTATTATAGGGCCCATTACAACCTATGTATGGCAAGAAGTACAGGGAATATTTTCAGGGAATGCAAACATTATCCTTCAATTTCAAGCCAATTTCACAATGCTTGTTACTTGATTTTTCTCTTGATTTTTTAAATGAACAGCAATCTTAATTTTTCTAATCAGTTTAAAAAAAATAAAAGCATTTTACATAAAAGGCGTTTGATGAAGTGAGCTACAGCTCACAAAAGCTTATGCCTTTTAATTTAATCTGTTAGTTGGAAAAGTGCCACTAGATTTCTGCATTGTGGCCCGCCAACGCCCAACACAGCTGACAGCAGATTCGGACAGTGAGGAGGTTGGCAAGGAACATGGGTCAGTCCTGGAGTCTAGGGAAGGCTCTGACGAGTGCTCTGCAGAGATGGGGCCAGGGCTGTCTGACAGTTATCAGCTGCCTTCGGAGTCAGACGTCAGTCAGTGAGGCAGAAGGACAGCTGGAGCCTGTTCTCCTATTCCCAGTGTGCGCATGCGCAGAGCTGCTAGAAGAAAGGGAACAACTAAGGAACAAGGGTCGACTTGAGAGTAAAGCCACAGCTGGACAGTGAATGGCCCCTCCCATAGGGAATAAAAGAGGAGTGCAAGGGGAGTGGGGTTTTGCAGGAGACAATTAGTTCATTTGAAGATCTGTTCCTGCATTCTTGACAAGCATTGCTTGCTACAGTGTGGCCTCTGAAAGATATAGGCCTGGCACCTCTCCAAGTCTGATAAAGGTCTGTAATTGTTAAATATCTTGAAAGACTGTTGGCCGGGACTTTGCTGGAGAGGAATTCACTGTAAACTAAATAAAAGGGGTTTATCAGGATGAGGGGTCAGCTTCATACTGTTGGAGAAGCATGAAGCCGACATTCTGATTGTTTGCTAGACAGCCTTGCTCTCACAAGCCTTATATATATATTTTTATATATATATAAAAATTGCCACCAACTGTGAAAATGCTTCAGATTCGAAAGCAAAAAAAGGCTTCAAAGTACTCAGGAACATACATGTGACATGTGTTTGCAATTCCTTAAACAAAATGTGTTTTAAAGGTCACCATCTTAAGTATTGCATTTGAGTGTTTGTGTCAGTGCAAATGCAAAACAGTCATCTTTTGTGCTTCTAGAGAAGTAGCTGCTTCTAATCACGAACCCCATACAGAGGCAGTATTTAATGCCAACCTAGGATACTTTTCTCCTTTGACTAAATATACAGTACTTCAGCACAAACTATCAATATGCTTGGGTTGCAGTATCCACCCTAGAAAGTAAGAGTCATCTTTTTTATTTACAAATACACAGATCATTTCTGGTAGCTGTTAAGAATTCAATCATATGTCCAAGGCTTTTTCCAGCTAATATAAAATTGTAGTGAAGTTTCTGCTGACCTTTATATTTCAAAGTGAATCTTTATCTTTTTTTCCTTATTTGATTTTTTAAAATATCGTTTGACTCTTTATTATGTTTAATTCTTTTGTCTGCTTTCACTGAAATTTATTTAGTGTTCCTGGGGGATCCCATTTCATCACCATTATACTTCTAAAAAATAGAACGCTTTTTTCCAGGTACACTGGAATACAAGCTATCCATTAATTTCTCTGAACAGCCACTATGGACTCTTTGCCCATGTACTTCTTATTATCCACTTAGTCTGATAGGAGCTGATTGGGCTTTCAGTAGTTTTTTCATTATCCTAGTGCTTGATTTTTCACAAAGCAGGCCCTGGGTCTATTACCAAGAAAATGCATTTTAATTCCACATGATTCCAATATCAGGTTGTTTTTCTATTAGTTTGAAAATGTTTTATTTTATTTACATCTTTTAATCTGTTCCAACCCAATCAACCTTGAGCAAGATATGATTCCCCAATTCAATAACTGAAGTTAGAAACATACAAGATATAATGACTGTATCCAGTCAGGACTGTAAAGTTGCTACAGATTATGGAAATTTCAGCTCAGTCATTCTAATAGATACTAGGTTGAGAAAGGCTGGCCCAAAGGTCTGCCATTCAGTGATAAAAACAGACCATGATAAAGTTACATTAACAAATTAAAATTATTGTTAAATTAGGATTTTAACAGTACCACCCAGTAATTCCTCCAACAAGATCCCTCAAGTTTACAAGATACCATTGGACTCACAGGCCAAATCATTCCAACCAGTTCAGTCCTTGTTGTTTGACACCTACTCAAGTAAACTTGCTTCTTTGCAATTCAATATTCTTATTTTTGCCAGATTATTCCAGCAAATTTGTGTCAGAGCTAAACTAAGCTAGAAATGGTGGCAGAATTACTTTTAACACAGGCAGCCTCTTTCTTGCTATCATATAATGTCATTATGTTTGGCATTTTATTACTATTGGCACTGTCATATTCCTCCATGATGTCCTCAAGGTGCTGCCTCATGGATTGAAAGAATACTTCCCACTTGGTTTGTTAAGTGATTCATTTTTTTTTTCAACCTAAGTGTCAGTGCTATTATCATGGATCTTTTTACAGTATTACAACTAAAACCATCACTTTTCTTACTGATGGTCATGAATGAAATGTTTTCTTAGGTACTAGAGGTTTTTAATATTAGCCTCAGTTCTAATGTAAATTTATTTTACGAAAATCAAGTTCTATTAAACTGCTTGGTGAAAATGTCAACTCAGCATGTTGGCATAAGCTACAGTACTTGAGTCCTTTCACTTGACTTTTCTGGATAGCTAGCAGGAGCTGCTGCAAGAAACTGGGCTTTTCTCTGCTCTAATTATGAAATAAGATATTTGGCTTTGTTATCGACAGTGACAACTTTTAAAGAGCAGAAAGAATTAATGGACAATTTTTATAACAAAATGTTAGAAATACTAGAGATTCAGTACAGGTAATCCTCAACTCACAACAGTTCATTTAGTGACCATTCAAAGTTACAACAGCACTGAAAAATGTGGCTTATGACCGTTCTTCATAGTTATGAGCTTTGCAGCATCCCCATAATCATGTGATCAAAATTCAGATGCTTGGCAATGGATTCGTATTTATGACGGTTGTGTCCCAGAGTCCCAGAGTCATATGATCCCCTTTTCCAAACATCTGAAAAAGGAAGTCAATGGGGAAGCCAGATTCATTTAACAATTGGGTTACTAACTAATCAACTGCAGTGATTCGCTTAACAACTGTAGCAAGAAAGATCATAAAATGGGACAAAACTCACTTAACAACATAACTTTGGGCTCAATTGTGTTAATAAGTTGAGGACTACCTGTATTGGAGAACAAGAAATGAGCCAAATAAATATAGAGCTAAAATTGTGGAGCCTGTTGTATTAGTTAATGACTACACTTTAAAAAAAATATGAAATCTGATTTTTCTAAATATCCTCATTTTTAAAAATCAACCTAACATAAATATAAAAGTTGCTAGATAATATCTAGTATGGCAATGTTGTGCTATGCTTAGACTGAAAGCACATAGGAGTTCAGGTCATGCAGCATCTGTTAACAACTCTTTAAAGCAACTGTATCTTTTTCTTAGCTATGGAACAATCTGTAATAAGATGCTAAAAGATGCTACATGTATGCCCACACATGCTCTAAAATATGTTTAAATTCAAATCTCTATGGAGTTCTAGGAACTTACTAGGCTGATCTAAAACTATAAAGCAGCTAGATGGGTCAGGTTCATCTAAGCATATCCTAAATATGTATCAAATATCATGACTCACTCCTCCCAACTGATACATCTTATGCTTGTTTTGTACAATTAACAATCTGGGTTGTTCCCACTGAGATATATTATAGCAGCAAATTCTTCCACTTTCTGTGCTTCTGTAAAAACTTTAATATTCTATACTCACTACTAAAATTTGCTTATAATCACACAGGCCCTTTCCTCTGATGAGAATGAATCGTATGAATTGTCTTCAGTCTGGATTCTACAGAAATCCTGTTTTCCTTCCTATTTTCTTCTTTCCTGAGAGAATGGGATTTCCTGATTGGTCCTCTAATCCCTTCTTTTTTCTCTTTTTACATTTTCCCACAAATATAGGGTCCACTTTTTTCAGATCAATCGAGTGTTCATACATTGGTTGTGACATGAATTGACCAACCATCTTGTCATCCAAGCCTGCATTATGAGACGAGAGACTCACTGGGCCAAAACCATCTATCCAGCTTTCATGGCTAAAGCAGGCCTGAAACCAATAGTCTCCTGGTTTCTAGCCTAATGCCTTAATCATTAGACCAAACTGGTTCTCTTGGCTATTAATCCTATGATCTTTATAAATAAGAGAAAATGCATTTTTGTAAGAATCCTAATTTTGCTTATTGGCAAAATATTAGGAGAGCATGCAGGGTTGTTTTAGCTAATGCAGATCCACAACACCCCTCCTCCCCAATTTTCTGAAATTTTCATGTTTGCAGGATTACAAATTACAAAATAATAAAACCAAAACAGAATAAACATTGCAAATAGTAATCAGGTGGAAAGCCTTAACTTTGCAAGTCTGTTAACACAAATTATGACTTTGTCTGATGACTATAAATTGATCTAATATAATAATGTTTTGTTGGTGTATTTGAGAGGCCCATCTTATCATATATTAACCTTTGATATTTGTAAGAAACATGAATTAAAATTAATATTAATCATTGCACTATGACTATGAATATTTAAAGGGGAAAAATGAAAACAACACCTTTGCCCCACCTAGCATCAGCAGGTAAAAAAGTCTGATGCTGTTTCTTTATTTCACTGGCATGAAACCAGGACCTCACCTAGAAAGTGAAAAACATGGCTGCAATATCTGCCTTCCCTATCTCTTAAAATAGCCTTATCTGGAGGCACTGAGTCCAGAAACTATTGCTGAACGTGATGGTAATTAAACCAATGTTTGTCAATCTTGACAACTTTAAGATCCATGGATCTCAATCCCCAGAAATCCCCATGGCTGGCTGGGGAGTTCTGGGTGTTGAAGTCCACCCATCTTAATGTTGCTAAAGTTGAGAAATATTGGCCTAGAACAGGGGTCTTCAAACTTGACAGCTTTAAGACTTGTGGACTTCAACTCCTAGAATTCCTCCTCCAGTCAGGAATCAGTCAGCTCAGGAATTCTGGGAATTAAAGTCCACAAGTCTTAAACCTGCCAAGTTTGAAGACCCTCGGCCTAGAAAAATAAAATGCAGTTTCTGTATCACTATTCAAAGATACTTTGCTTTTGGTCCCTCAAACTGAGTGCAAACAGCAGTTGTGCCAAAACTTTAGATGCTGTTTTCTTTACCAAAAATTTCCATATATTGCTCAGTATCATGATGCCACTGGGCATCTTAAATTGTGTCACAAAAACTACTATACTGCTTGCCATTTTTCTATTCCTGCCTATCCAGAAGGTGCATATGTGAACTTTTCTAATGCCAGATTTTAGCTGCATGTGAATCTTACTGAGATATTTCTCATTTCTGACACAAAGTTGGAAGCAGAAGTGTACAAAAAATGTTTTGAATTTATAATGTTCTGTTTTGAATTCAAAACAGCCATTTCAAGTTTAAACAGTTGTTTTATGTTAGAAACTGCTCTGAGTAACTGAGCTCTATTTAAGGCATAAAACACAGAATGGCTAGCACAACCAGTTCTAAATAAAATGACTGTTTCAAATTTGAAACTTTTCAGATTCAAAATGTTTTCCATTCCTCTAGCTTGAATCCCTTGAATATGCCATTTATATTCTTTACTTCACAGATAAAGATAAAAAAAATCTACAATTTATTTATTAATTTTATTTATTAAATTTGTATGTCCCTGAATCATTCTGATTCCTGTTGGCTTACAACAAAATAAAATATAATAAAAACATCTAGTGTAAGAATAAACAAAAATAAATATAAAGTATCTCTATGACAAGGGGAAAAAAGGAGAAAAATATTTTAATTAAAACCTTCAGAATATCAGTGCCTAAAATATATAAAAATTCCAAAGCAAAGCCAATAGTAAGAATAAAAGGAATAAAAAGTGAAATAAAGAAAAATGATGATGGTTACATTGGAAGAGTTTGGTATTTGCTGACTTCCAAAAAACATTGTTTGAGGGAACCAATCTAAGTTCTAGAGGAAGAATATGTCAAAATATAGGCACCATGAATGAACAGGTGATGCTTTCTAGTCTCCATCCCTTACCTCACAAAATTTCTACTTTTTACCTTATTTTCTTGTTGGATGTATGCTTGAACCAGACAATTTCTATTCTGTCATGTCAATATTGCAATTGAATATATGTAGCAGAAAAAACAGTCCAGAGAAATAAAATAATTTTATAGATCAACATTCTTCCCAGTATTCTAATTAGGAAATTTCTAATTAACATTCCTTTTTACATTTTAATCTAGAATCCAGAAGTAGTATTTAGCAGGTTCTGACCAGTTCTGGAGAACCGGTAGCAGAAATTTTGAGTAGTTCGGAGAACAGGCAAATACCACCTGAGTCCCCAACTATTCTCTGCCTCCAAAGTCCCAGCTGATCGGCTGGGTCTTCTTTTGTTGCCCTGCACAGGAGAATGGAACTGGAAAGCAGGTTAGTGGGGTGGGGAGGGAATGGGATTTTGCAGTATCCTTTCCCTGCCACGCCCACCAAGCCACACCCACAGAACCATAGTAAAATAAATGGAATCCCACCACTGCTTAGAATCGATATATTACTGATAATGCAATTAATCATTCTTTTTTTTCCAACTCCCCAACACATTTTAACTAATAACAATTCTTGGTAAACCAAGTAAAAACAACACACTATTTTTACTTGACATATTACATTATGTTTAGCACTTTTTACCATAATATTTGAAACATTGTGTTATTATAGTGTCATTAATGTTCCATACCTAGAACTGATGTCCTTCCCTGAACAGCACTCTCGTTAGACAGATCTTTTGAGTTCGAAGTGAATGGTGATTGTCTAAAAGTATCTTCAGAAAAAAATGGGCTAAGGAAAAATGATTTTTAAAGCAGAAATATATGTTAATTACTAAATAAATCCTATTAATGCACAATTATATCACATGGTGCATCTGATTAGAATTTAGTTTAGAGGTACGCAAGATTGAAAACATGTTTCGGATAAACTTTTGCAACAATTATTGTAAAATCAACAATATAGAATTCATATTATCAAACTATCCCAATCCTAAATGCATCTAAAATATTTTGAAAATGATTCAAAACAAGCCAACCCACTGTTAAAAGAATTTAATTTTATTGCCCAAATCTCAAGATATTCTCCATATAACTCTGAAGTATTGTTTTCAATGCAGATGTTCAGAAAAGCAGTATTAGTGGGTTGCACATTTGCAAGCCTGAGTTATGTTTGTGTAATAGAGGAATTTCAGGACATATGAGTTTATATGAAGTTTTATAGAGCACCACACTCCAAAGACATACCATACATATCAGAAGCAGGTTCCAGCCAAGTTAATTCAGTTGGTCTGGATAAAGTAAAAGTCAGTATGAAGACTAACACCTACTGTCTTAATATTAGATTAATTAGATTAGATTAGATTAACAGAGTTGGAAGGGACCTTGTAGGTCATTTAGTCCAACCATCTGCCCAAGCAGGAGATCCTACACCATTTCTGACAAATGGCTGTCCAATCTCTTCTTGAAAGCCTCCAGTGATGAAAAATGTTTTTATATGAAGCATGTTTATTTCTAATATAATCTTTAATAAGCAGCTAATTTTTTGGGAAAATGCATTTATAATTAAGGAATCTTTTGAAGCTAAGTGTTCTTGTCACAGTTATTTTCCTCTTTGGCTGAGCCAACACATTCTGTCTGCTGTTTAAGGAAGTTGTTTAGGTAGTGATAGCATTATTAACACTCCCAGTTTCTTATAGCTTGTTTGAATTTTATAACGTACAATAATGCTATTAGTCCTTGCTCCCTAGTACTACCTGAATGGCTTGTTTAAATAATAAGCACTTGTCTTAATTTACTAGCTAATTTCCATATAGACAATAAAAGCAATTGTTTAAGGGCAATGCAAGAAGTCAAATAGAGCTCTTGCCTGATTATTGGGTGATAAATTCAAAGGAAGGAATGCAATTTGGAAAAAGATTATAATGACATTTGAATGTAAATAGTTGAGGAATAGTTGAGGATTATCTCAAATAGACTGCACATGATTTTCAATATATTTGTTTTTCCTTCATGACTGCAATCCATCTAAATGCTTTTTTGAAGATCCAAGGGATCTGACTGTAATTTTGCAAATGGCAAATACTGTAACTTTTTGAAATGGGATTTTAACTAAGTTAATAGGCCAGTCCAGAAAAATAATCTTGCAGCATCATTTATTTAACATCTGAAAGACAACTTGGGCCTGTCTCTTTTCTGCCCTCCAAAAATTCTTCTTGGCTGTATCATCATTACTGTCCCTCTGTACAGAGGTTGAAATCGGTTACTTTTAGATTATAATGACAACTTTAAATAGGAGTCTTTTCAGGATCACCTGAGAGCAGCTTCTTAACTTGCTGGATTAAACAAACTAAGAAATTTGATATCATACTCAGGTTTGGGTTTTTTTTTGTCAAGCTGAACAAGTGAGATTTTAGGGAAAAATCTGAGAAACCATGCCAAGTTAAAACAAAAATCCCCAATAGCCACACATTGATTTTTCCTTAATTAATTGCAAGCATGAGATAAACTATTTTTATTTTCTCTTCAATGGTGTTTTAAAAAGAGTTTCCCTGCCTCCAACCTGCTACAATAGGAGGCATGTAAAAAAAAAGTTCCCAGTGATACAAATACATTTTTTTAAAGACTGGGGCAGGGTGTTTTATTTTCTTTCAAATACAAGCTGGAGAAGAACAGGTATTAAACTGCCCCTCTTACACTCACACAGACATAAGCAGTTCTGAGAATAATCCACATGACATCAGTGGTTAAGCAAGAGAAAGTAAAGCAATGTTGATCAGCAGTTTGCCTTAAAATGATAAGGTTTCACATCCATGGTGACTGACAACAGCGAGCATAGAAAATAATCCTTTGGGTGCATGGTATAAATTTCTTATAATGCACATCAAGAATTTATTTGCTTCATGATTGACTTGCATTTTTAATTACATCTCAAACAAAGATACATAGTATTGATCAATAACATTAATACAAACAGGACATTCTATAATCCAGCCATAGATAATTTATCATTTCAGTAGGAAATCAAAGGGACTGAACTATACTCAAGTCTTGCTAGATTGTGGACCATGCATAGAGATTTGTGAAGGCTTGGTTAAAAAAGGGGAAAATTTTAGAAAACCCAAGGGATTTTGTTTTGTTTGCAAAAAAAAGAAAAAATAATATAAAGTATCAGTTAATGAGATTATCTCATATTCAGAAAATGAGATTAGTTAAACATTACAGATTTGATCTTCCCTCCCTGTTTTCTATGAAAAGTATCTTTTGAAAAAAAGCACAAGACATAATGCCTATTTTTCTTTTATGTATTTTGATGTTGACAGCTTCTTCTTTCATATTATTATTATTTTTTGTGTGTAACTGCTTCTACTAAATAGGCAAATATGAAGAGACATTACTTTCCTTAAGGTTTGTACTCTATATATGACAATGAAAAATTATTTAAAAACCCTTTATTTTATGCCTGTAAAATATGAAATAATATATTTGCTGGACATCTCAGCTAACATCTATAAAACTGAAGTTACACTGAACTTTATCAAGCCTACTTTTCTCTGTCATGGGTAGTACTTACCTAGTTGTAATAGTGATGGTATTATCTTTAGAGTGATTGTGCTCTTTGCTCACTTTTTCTGTGGAAAAATAAATTATTATTTTAAGCAAAATAAAATAAAATTTTGCTCATGAGTATTAGCTTTTTAATAGAAAGATGATATTTATATAGATTTTTAACCTATCCAAATATTTCCTCCAGCTTCTCATTGAAATGATAAATCTATTTACCATGAGTCATACTGAGGAGTTCCACATTTCTTTTTTTAGAGTAATTGGGCCCTAAATGACAGTTTCTGTGTGCTTTCTTTGGTATGTAAGAAGAATAAGGTAAAGCAAACAAATAGGAAAAAGATATGCTAAGAATGTGGACATATTCTATTGTACTTTACTAATTTATTTGATTCTTTTTGTTAGTTTTTGTTAGTTTTTTTTAATTTTAATTTTTTGTTTTAAATATGGTTTTACATTGTGTAAGCCGCCTTGAGTCACCATGGGGGAATAGGTGGCAATAAAAATTAAATAAATAAATAAATAAATTGTATAGCGCTATGGAAAGAATGAACTCTAGATGTAATCTACAGCTTGGATAAACCTTCTAAATTGCAATGCAAGGAAGCAGGTTATATGGATACTTTTTTTCTATTTCTAGATATTTATTTAAACACTTTCTTAGGAAATTGTTAGAGGTAAGTTGTCTCTTATATTTTCTTTTACTAAAATACTGGAAAAATATAGAAGTTAATTTGTAATATTCAACAGTAGCATCTGCTATACTGCTAACAAAGTTGACCAGTCAGGTGGCAATATCTGGCTACTCTTGACTGATTTTTTTATAGGAATCAAATAGTGAAACAAGGCTATTTTTTGAATTGAATTGTAACCATAATAATAACCAAATTTATTTATAAATATATGCTCTTTAATAGGACTTCATGTGCTATTCTATACATACCATGCTTCACCCAAAATAAGACAGATTGTGACTATTTTTAAATACCTATAAGACTGCAGTTTCTAGTTCTTATACAAAAAATCAAAACACAGCAAATTCAGACAACACAAATCTGGAAATGTATATTGTGAATCTCTAGATATGATACATACCTGACAATTGAAAAAGTAATTCTGAAGCCATTTTCACGGATATATCTTGGCTAAAGAGGTTTCTCTCTGGAACTACACGGCTTTCAGGGATCTTTTGTACCTGTTCAGTTATCTCTTGCCTAAGTAAAGTGCTGTAACTGACATTTTGGCTAGGTGAAACAGAGGCATGGGAGTCATGAATCTCAACTTCCATTGGCTCTTCTTTAACCTTTATTGACTGGGATTCCTTGCAACTTTCCGCTGCAGATATATAGTATAAAAATGAAATGGAAAAAAAAATGGCAGAAAATCAATCAATCAATGCCCAAGTTTAAAAAGGACACAAATTAGCAAGAATTATCCAGGCATTTTTTAAAAAATAAACATTTTAGCAAATGTTATGAATAGAGAAATAACCATATTGAAATTATAAAACTACTGTACCCCAATATTGATTTCTTAAATAAATAAAGATTATATTTCAGAAAGGTCTGAACTATAAATATTTACCCTAGTAAGCCATGAATTTTGAGGAAAATATCATCGGATTTTTTTTTCAAAGCAGGAATAATCTCAGAGACCGTGAAAGAAAAAACTACTATGTATATTGACTACTTAAAGGGCCCTCTCCCCCCAAAAAAACAGATAATTAGAAAATAAACCAAATTAGATTCCAATGGAAAATTATTTGCCAATTTTGTTGCTTTGCATTGCAGTATGTAAGTGTAATTTGCTTCAACAATTGAAAATCTTTCACTTTCTCTTTTTTCTTCCTTTTTCTCTCTTTGTAATAGGTGCCTTATTTATTAGTGGGAATCATTTTGTCACATGATAGTTAAATGAAAATATAGTTCTTTTTTTCAACATTTCCTGTCTTGAATTTCATATATTTGTTTAATTAATAGAAATAAAATTTCTAAACAAATGATAGTTATAATTATTTTGGCTCGGTTATTTTTTTCTGCATTCATTTCTACTATACTTCCATCAGAATTTTAAAGATTTTGAATTAAGAAAAGGTTTTTCATTCTATAAAAGTTTCCCTCCCCCCAAAAAGGAACAGCTTTCCCACTTCTTGAATTGTTGTCTCTTGTAGAAAAATGCTTTAGTTTTGAGTACAGATTAAATGACCGCTTTCTTTTAGCTTGTTCCATTCAAAGAGATCTCAAAGCCTGCACTTCAAGCAAACTTCATCACATTATTTACGATTTCCCTTCCATATCACAGACATACAAATAATTTGCCTAAGAAGGAAGTACTGGATTATTTTGTTCAAGGTGCTTCAGTAAAAAGTCAATTAAAAACAATAATGAAAGAGCTTAGGCAATGACAGTAAAAAAAAATCTGGAATACTGTATATAAAGAGAGAGAAAAAGCACTCTCAGAACTTCTACAGATTTTCAAACAAGAAGCTTCTTTGAGGCCAATTATTATTGAAACTAGCTTATTGTTATACATGGCTTTGTATTGGTAAGTCCTTCACGGAAAGAGTGGTAATCTCATAGGAGTAATACCTGAGGCGAAGGTATTATTATTTATGTTTGTAATGACTATTTTGCAGCAGCATCTTGACTAAAACAGGATGTCATTGAAAGAAGAATGCTTCATCACCCACAATTAACTGTGCTAAGTCTTTTTAGAGCTTTGGATTTTCTTCTGATAATGACTTATTCTTTGTATATAAGCCTATAAATGGTATTAATTTTAGCTATCAGGACTTGTTCTGAAGATAAATAGCTTTACAAATGGCTTGTTTTATAGCAGTGATGGCTAACCTTTTTGGCATTGAGTGCCCAAAGTGCGTGCACACCCCCAAAATGCAATATACACACGTCCCCCATGCATGCGCCCTGCCTCCTGCATATGTACTCCACGCATGCACGTGCATCCCTTGCGCATGCGTCCCCCCCCCACACACATGCGCAGCAGAGACCTGAAAACCAACTGGTCGGCAGGATGCGTGTGTGAACATGCACGGCGGAACTGAGTTGGGGTGATGGCTTGCATGCCCACAAATAGGGCATGCCATAGGTTCACCATCACAGTTTTATAGGCTTTATTGCTCTAAAGAAAAAAACCCTAATGTGGATCTGTCAAATACAAAATGAAATGAAATTGTCTTCAAAGGTATTTGGCATAAGATTCTAGCCTGACTATCACTGGAACTTCATTACTTATTATAATTAATTATATACAGAACTAAGTATAAGCAATATAGAACAATATTACCTTATATATACACCTTATAAAATATGGATGGAAACAATTAGGTCTGATTTTTTTTGCCCATTATTGGCAAATTATAAAATATAAATAATGGTTGGGAGGAGATAAAAGAATGTCAGCAGCAGCAGCAGAACTCCTGTTCTAGCACACTTAGATCAACACTCCTAAAATGGATACAAATACACTTTATACCTTTTTGTTATTAGCAGGTTTGGAGGAAGTGTTTACAGGTTGTCCCAAAAAGGCTAATGATGCCCATTTAAGACATTAATTCTTTCAAAGTACTACCAAATTCCCACAAAATGTGGAAACTATGGATCTATATATTTCAGTGGTATTATGATGTTTTGGATCTGTAGCCCCTGAAGTCTACACCCATTCACCACATACATATAAACATGGGAGAGGGGGGAGGGAGAGAAAGAAAGAGAACATTATTTAGACCACAGGTGTTAAACTTGTGGCGTCACATTGCTGTCATGTGATGTTTCATGACATTTTCCACCTTTGTGCAGCTGGGGTGGGAGTGGCCTGCGCATATGCATCAGGCCAGTTGCCAGTTTAACACCCCTGATTTAGACTGATCGGATCTTTTTTGCTGAGTGTTTATCATATATTATTAACCCAAAGATAGTTATTGAAATACTGAATATCAACTAAATATATAAATTTAGAGTTAAACTGTAATGATTAATTACAATATTTTACAGTGGAAATTGTTGAGGTAATTCCCCATTAGGAGAATGAACGCATACAGGGAGACGTATTTGAGAGGAGTGTTTGAATAATACACACAGATACACTGTACAGTAAATGTAGGTTTTTACTTCCAGAAAGGTTTAAGCAAAGTCCAAAATAGGCAGTCCAAAGCCATTCACAGGTAAAATCAGTCAGTTTTCATCCAGGGATAATCCAAATATCAAATTCCAGTGTCAAAAACAGTTCAGTATCAGACTTACATCAAATCCAGTAATATCAGTCAATTAGAAGAAATGGAGCAACAGCAATACTTTCCAACAGAAGGAAACAGAGATAGAGTCACACTCTCTTCTGAGATTAAGACTAAACAATCCAGGTTTCTGGCTCCATCTTATGGCTCTTTGAGAAACCACACCCAATTGCATGCTCTTGCATTCCCTTAAAGATATAGTACTAAAATGTTTATCCTGGTTTATATATTTCTAACCCAAATACCTGTTAGGTGACTTATATTCCTAACAGAAATGTACTGAAAATTCAGTACCATTTGATCATCACTTATATCTACAAATTATGAATCAGTTTATTATGACATGTTATTTATGACAATCAATGAAATTAATTATTAAGTCAACATCACAGACATGGACCTTATCTCTGCTGTAAGCAATCTGATGCTGATTCACACATGCACTTAACATTTACAGATCACAATCTAGAGACATGCATGCATAAATTGGGTCTAATGCTAAGGTCAAAAAAGATGGTTAATATTGTTCAATGGATTCTTAATAAATATTTAAGAATGATAACAAGGTTTTAAATATGGAGGATATTGAAATTAATATTAGATGATGAGAAAACAACTGGCATGCTTGCTCAAAAATTTCTGGCCTCCAATTAAAATTGTAGCTATTTCTTTGATGTTTTGTTTATATTCTAAGTAATATTTTTGGCACCAGGGTTTTTTTTTTGTGCACAGAAGATACTGAAGATTTCTCAGACACAAATTGCTGGCAGGGTACTTGTCATGAGTGCCCCCACTCCCAGCTGGGAATTGTTGAAGTTGCATAACAATAGCAATACTGGGCATTTACCTTTAGAAAGTGTAAATGTTAGCAGCATAGTTTAGATAAGGGGAACTTGCTGTCATAACGTTTTGGAAAGGATGGGAAGGGAATCATTATTTCAGCTCTGAAAATCATTGTACTTTATTATGTCAAAGGGAGCTGACAGATGAAATAGCACCTTCATTTGTTTCACTTTTGCAGTGGGCCATGAAGTTGTCCATCCACGTTGCGATACCTTACAGTGCTGTGACCTGTTTTCAAGGCTGACTGGAAGAGGTCAAATGCTAACAGATCAGTTCACGTTCCTTCGCTTGCTTTAGAACAGGTGATAGGCTGTGAGACAGCAAATTAATCTCAGTGGTTTCAAGCTGGAAAAATGGGCCCTTTTTATCACCAGTGACTCAAAAGAGCAACCTCTTCACTTCCCCAGACTAGAACAGACAGGCAGAAAACAAAATGATAGCATACAAAAAGTATGGCAGAGATGCAATTAAGACCTGTTAAAAACAATAGGTTTGCTTTGTACCAAATAGGACAAATCAAATTAATTAAGTGGCATATATACAAAGTCCTTTAAAGGCCCAGGGTTATAGGCTGCATTTGAACAAACCATACTTTCTCCTATGTCAAAGTAACATTTTTCCTTTATTTTTTCCTTAATTTTTTTTCACAGAAATTAATCTAGTATTCTGAAACAACACTCAAATATAATATTGAAGAATCAAATCCCCACTTGATGTTAAGAATTAAGAATAAAAATCCAATAAAACTGAAAATCAGTTGAATCTTAACTTACATAAATTATATCTATGTCATTTATTGTTATTTGGCAAGTCTATTGCTTGATGAAGCAGTCCAAACTCAGATTTTGTTCACTATACCTTAAATCTGATAAAAAGGAGACTACAGCATTGGGGTTTTAGAATAATTCTTGGCATGATATAATTTATTAATTTTGCTGACTTTTACTTTGGCATTCATGTTAAAAGTATTATGCTATTGTTGTTGCTTTTATATCACTTTTTCACACCCTTATGGTGAGATTCTCCTTCTCAGCAGCATCAAGAGTGAAAGGTAAACCTCCCAAATGTTCATTAAGAATGAACTTGGCTCCTTGGAGGTACACGCTGAGTATCTCTATCTATGAAACTCTCAGATAACAGAAAGAACAAATGTGCGCTTCAGATGTCTGACCTCTAGAGTTCCGGCACTGGACTCCAAATTTAGGTGTAAGAGTCAAGATGACCTTTGCTGCTCAGCTTTTCT